CGGCGCCCCGGGCAGCCGCGACCTGGGGCGCTGCCTGCCTTTTCCGTTTTTTCCCTTTTTTTTAATTCGTTAAGGTTTTTACCCCGCGGGAGCAGCCGCTGCCGGGCAGCGCGGCGGCAGAGCCCCCCCGCCCGCACGCTTCAGCAGCATACCCACGCGTGTGCTAGGGGTGCCTCGCGAATTAAAAACGCGGGGGGTTACGCCTCAAGGGGAAAGTTTGCTTTCCGTGTTAGAAGGTCACTTGAATAATTTTCTAAGGGGTTTTTATCCCAGAAGGCAAAGAAGCGATTTAACACGTTACAGAGTATTTTTAACATGGAAGAAGAGAATAATTGTGTCTTTCCTAAAGCATTTAGGCCTTTCCTGAAAAGCACCAACCCGCTACTGGAAATAACGATTTACATTTTTGCAACACTGTACAAGCTAGCGGGGAAAGGTAAATGCCCTGGGCATTAGCACCGCTCCTGCTCCTGCAATCACAGAGGGGCGGCACGGACACGTACAGGTTTTATTCTTCCCACCGCTGAACGGGCTGACTTCAGCTGTACCTTGTATTTTACAGTGGAGCAAGTCACAAATACTGTGTACCTATGTAATTTAAATATTGCTCTGGAAAAAATGTCAATATGTCACATGTCAAAAAAAGACTTAGACACAGAATTTTGCAGTGTTAAATGGGGGGACATTTAAGGGTATAAATTTTCTCAACGCTTGTAAAACTGCACTGCTATTTAAATGAAAATTTTCTTTCCAAAAGACAATTTTTCTCATCCTTCTTGAAAGTGTATTTCAATGACACTGTAAGTAACAGGTTGCCTAATACTAGTTTACAATATCCTGAAGTTACACTATAGAATTTGATACACAACTGGAGTTATTTTCACTTGTTTGTATTTTCTACAAAAACAATTAACAACAAACCCAAAACCAAACACCACTTAATGTGTGTGTATATATATATATATACACACACACACACACACACTCTCTCATATCACAAAAATAGTACAGTAGTTATACATGGGAAGTCATAAAGTGATTAGGATATTGATATCGAAATAAAGGAAACCTTACTGGCAGGTTTAAACACAAGATAAATAAAACAGGCTACTACTTTCTAATTACTTAAAAGCTTTTAAGAAATCATCATAAAAATGAGAATATAAAGTTCTAAGCAAAAGATAAAGCAAAGTTTTTGAGTGCAGAATTATTGCAATTAGACATAAATTAGCAATAGTAATTAGATATTACAAACGTGATACTAGCCTATTTAAAAAACTAGCAGGAAATATCATCATTATTCACAACTAAAAAATGGGAATCAAAATACCAGTGATCAACTGAATCAAAATTACATAGTGTTGAAAAAAATCACCAAATCATGAAGTCATAAAAGACATTAAAAATTGGGTTTTTTACATTTAAATCTGTAACAGTTACATTTAAATGTTCCAAATTAAACAAAATGTCTTAAAGCATTTATATGCAGTTACATACAGCTGATACAAAAAGAAGACATACTAGAGCACAGAATACTTTTCCTTCCCCTTTAATAAGAAAAATTCCAGTAATACTAGCCATACAAACAACATTCCAAAGAAATATTTAAACTAATTTCTGTCAACGCTGGGAAGAAAGTTCTGTTATAGTAGTCTTAGAATTTTTGAAAATGGTGACAAAGAAAATCACAGAACAACAGAACTATTAGAAAACAAATATTTATTTCAGAAATATCTTAATTTCGAAAATACTCACTGGCATACAATAAGCTCCTAGAATTAAAAAATAGCTGTCCAAACCTTGTACTTCTGTAATTTTCGTCAGATATTGAGGATGTGTTAGTAGGCCAGAATTGTAAAGTGCTTCAAGAGTTTAGCTCAATCTCTTAAAACAAAATAAAAGAACCACTACCCTAACATTGTGTTAAATAAAAACATTAATATATTTCTCAGACATTCTTCCAGTTTTTGTTTCTATATTTTCCCCATCTTTTAAATAAATTTGCTAAACAATTTTTCTTGTAATGTGCCAGCTCAAAAAAAAAAGTCAAGTAATCAAACATCTCTGCCTGGCAATAACAGCTCTTTTTTAAGCTACTTTTAGTGATAACTTGTTGCTTTAGTTAAATGTTATCACTTTTACATTAAAATAGCTTTGCTGCTAACTCACACACAAGCTGAGAAGGTGAACAGATACATTTGTGCAATTCAATAAGACTGAGCAAAAAGAAACACGGGTATTTATCTTATAAAAGTGCTACCATCCACAAAACACGGTGGCTTAAAGTAGTTACCTAAGAGATGTTATCCTCGGGCTATTAAAACATGTTTCTAAAATTACACAGATTCCCAGCTGGATGCTTTAAAAAAGCATGCCCACACACGCCTATGCTAACCTTTATTATCTGGCCATTTAATAATCTATTCTTTCTGTAATTCACAGGTTTAAAATCCTCCTTCTTTGAAAATATCCACAGAATTTAAAAAAAAAAAAAAAATCCATTTCTAGGCTGGTAACTACAGCACTGAAGTTAATGGGAGCTTTGCTAGGGTGATCAGACCCCCAAGCTCTTTTTAATAGCAGTTAAATGTCAAATATAAATACAACACCACAGTGAAACATATTCCTTTGACAGAATCTGGGACAAGACACTACGCAGCTGCTGTTAACAATAAAGAGCAAAACTGACGTTTAATAAAAAAAAGTGTTGGTGGTTACGAAGTTGTGTTCAAGCCTGCCTTTTGTTTGTGAAAAAGTCAATATTCCAACGTGTTAACTACAGCCACAATGAAATCAGCAGCTCCTGTTACTCCCAAAGAGTGGAGAGGTCCACGTCCGTGCAGCGTGTTACAGCTGCGTGATTATCATCATCTCGGAGAGGGAGATACTCTCCCTTTAAACTGCTAAACTAAAACATCTCTCCTGGTGTCTTCAAATATAAGTGCCTAAAGTTAAACATGCTGGGTAAAATCCTGGCCCTAGCGAGGTCGATGCAAAATTCAGCCGTGGGTTTCAATGGACCTCATCCAGGATTTTCACTGGGAACGAGTATCTGTAATTCCCTGTGAACCGAGAATCTCCAGCAAGCCTAGAAATGACGTCATTTTTATTAATATTTCTAACTTCTAAGCAACCATGCTCAAGAATTTTGGCCTTCAGTTCTTATGCATGACAAAACCAAGCCTTCCACAAACCTTGCAGAAAGACCAGAGGAAGATATATTTATATCTCAAATTGTCAGCAGCATATAGTTTGTACAAATGTTGTTTTGCTGATGTTGCTGAGCTACTTTAAAAAGTGAATACCTTGTGGGGTATGTAATTTCATCACCAATGTCAGATGACTTCTAAAGATGAAACTTCTCTGATGCAAATTACAAAAAGATGCTTTGAATATATTTGATATGATATACCAACTTTTAAGCTGAGGAATTAAGTCATCTTTATTTTTCCAGATCCGAGACATGCACTCACTAAGGGAAATATTTTAACTGCCACATATGTCAGCAGAGCGTGACTTACCCAATACTGAGATTTTAATAGTCACAAAACCCTAAATGTAATACGTAGCGTGTAGACCTGAATCAACATACATAATAAATCAACAAAGAAATAGTATCAAGGTCCGTTTTGAAAATTTTGTAAGGATATATGGTTGTATTGACGACGCATCTTTTAGGTACGTGTTACCACCCAGCCGTGTTTACGTGGTATGCATAACCAGTAAACAGAGCAGAAACTGCATTGTACTGTCCTTAAGATAGCAATACAGGAATGATTTTTCATGATTCTTCAGAAGCTGGGCTTGCTTTACATCCACATGAAATGCTGTCATCACGAGGTCCGAGCCCGGAGGATGAACTGCAGAAAAGGGGAGAGGGAAGAAAAAAAAAAAATTAAAAGGAGGAAATTGGTTTTCACAACACACTCAAAGCCTGAGTAACAGAGGAGAACTTTAATTATCTCCAGTCACAAAGAGAGACAGGAAATTTGGACTTTTAATTAGCCATTTGGAGTGCAGTTGGATATTTTTTTAGCAAGATAATTTAAACGCGAATAATTCAAGTCTGACTAAATGAAATTCACATAATCAGAATGCAGATAATTGAATTTCTACTGCATTCATTAATTCAGTGTGGAGGTGTGTGTGAAGACTTCTATGATGAGCTGTCACAGCTCAATAAAATCTCAGTCAATTAATTTTTTCATTATCTTAGTATTACATCAACAAAAAAAGTGAGGCATGCGCATGTGTATGTATGTATATATAATCTCAGAAAGAAAGGAAATACAGAAATCACCTCTCTGAATCAGAGTCCGCATCGTTTTTTCCTTTTTTTCTCTCTTCATCTTCTATAGGAAAGCGTCTGTTCAAAGAGGCGAACTTATGAATTGCATCGGCAACAGAGTATTTGGTCTGTCCAGACACACAAGCCTCCATATCTTCTGGGCTTAGCTGAGTCTGTAAGAAGAGGTGAAGCCTACTGTCTGAAAGCAATAATGCGTCTTGTAGGATCCTGGAAAAAGAAAAAAAGTCAAATGTTCTTACATAGATGCACATACACACGTATATTCTAAAGTGTTTTACCAGAACAAATTCTAAATGATGTCCTGCTTTTAAGTTTTTAGATGAATCCTAAATCAGTAACAGAAGGTAATGAACATATTAAAATGATTAGGTGTGTGTTACTTTCTTATTACATTATTTGGAACTTTAGGTGAGTAAAAACACGAAGCTAATAGTTAGGCACATCTGCTATTAGAATAACTTCAAGGACATTTCTTCCATTTAACCATCTGTTATTACCACATGGATCAATTAATGATTTTTAGGCAGTTGGAGGCATATACCCTTACGAAAATTTGGTCTCCATTTGACAACTCTTTTTTTTTTTTTTTTTTAATAGCTAAGCTTTTTTAAAAATTACAAGTCACCAATTTCTTTGGTGAGGGAAAGAAGCGTGTACAGAGACAGAGGACTTCATACACACGCAGTGTCAGGACTTTGGAAATACCTGTAAACAACAGAGCCGGCACTAGCCAAAATCATTTACACTTTTACAAATATGCGTACATTTAAGTTAGAATGAAAATGCTAATACTGAACGCTGATTTAAATTTCCTTGCAAAGAGTTTTCAGGGAAACTTAAATACTATTTCATTCCAGCTATTCTTTTCAAAAGTCCGTTGTAGTCTTTGGTTTATATGTATTTTAAATTAAGTCTTCATATAAATTTAGCACAGAGTATTTACTTACATCAAGTGAAAGTAAACAAAATACAGTACATTCCAGTAACACAGAAAGTTGTGGAGATACTTTTACAAGGACTGAGAATTGAGGATCATCATCATTATTTTGGCGGGGGGAGGGGGGACGGAGGGGGGCAACTTTGCTGCAACATTTCTCTAAAGAAGAAATTCTTTAATACACAAATCCTAGAATGATTAACAAGTGACTTTTTTTTATATGTACATGTAATTTTACTCATGTAATAAAGTCATCAGAGCCTACGACCATGCCAAACTGCTCCACCAAAAATTATTAAAATTTTTAACAAATTAAATTTGTTAAGTTAAAATTTAAACAAATCAAAACTATTAAGAGTCAGTATTTACCTATTTCTACCCATTTAGATTACAGTCGTTACCAAAAAAAGTCATTGCTATGCAGTAGCAAACAAGAGATGACATTAATGTAAGAACCAGTAAAAGCAGAAAGAAATATTGCATTCTAACGGTATTCTGACTAAAATGAAAAGTATAACTGATTAGTTCCTTCTCTCAAATAAGATTAATGGTGTGTTTGGACTGTAATGTTTTAAAACACAAATACGTTCTGAAAACTGTTCTCTAAAGTGGCCAACATTACAATAACGTTTAATAAATACACTAAAGGATTTCTGGCTTCACCTAAGCCTACAAAAATCTGTCAAATCAAAATAAGTAATAAGAGATATCTAACATTTGCCTAGGTAAACACACACACAGTCTCAACCAAGTAACTCAAACTTTGACACCTTCCGATGAGGAAATGTCTGCAATGACCCTAATGATCTACCACGTGCATTGGAAATTCAGTCTGAGAAGGACCAGATTTTGCTGTAGTTCAAAATAAGCACACTTTCATACCTAGAGAAAGCCTTTTTAATCCAATTTAAATTCTCACTATTTTACTTAAAAACAAACACAGCAAAGAGACATCTGTAAAATCAATGCACTCAGTGTATTAATATACAGAAAAACTTCTTCGTAGTCTAAAAGAAGCCAGCAAATGCTGTGTAAAAATGATTCAACACACAGAATTTACAGGTCTACACACCTTGACAGCACCAGCTTCATGAATACAGTTTGAAAAGCCATCATTCAGCGGCCACTAAAAGAGAATTTCAGCCTTGACTCTTGATAAACATACATTCCAAACAAAAACAAACATTGCAACAAAAAGTAAAAGAAAAAGTATCATTCCACACAATAAATCCACATTTATAATTTATGCAATTGGGGGAGTACATATTCTCCTTCCTCTTTTCTTCCTCTTTTTAAAAAAAAAAAAAAAAAAGAAAAAGAAAAATAACATGCTGGAGTTTACCGTAGAGTAACTAGAGTTACTGTTTTTTCCCAGGCTTACGAGCACAATGAGGGGATGCACATTTCTGCAATTCTAACATTTGCGTGTCTAATACCAAGTAACCCAGCAAAAAGCCAAGACATTAAATTCTGTGGATGGCATTTAGTTTCACAGATTTTCCTCTTGCCGTACCTTCAAAAGTTTCCTGCCAACCAGCGAAAACACAAGTAACTAACTGTTCATGAGATTACACCACACTTACAGCTCTGTTGCTGTTTGAAATGTATTTTATTTTCTTTATAAAATAATGGGTAATCTTTAAAATTGATTTTAGATGGTTTGAGGCATTACACCATAGAAGTAATGAGCACTAATGTCAATGATATTGGACACAAATTCATTTTAGCTTTATTTCATGTCCAGTACAATTCTGCTAAGCCTTGAACTGCTAAAGCACTGTTATTAACTCGGCAGTAACCTAACACATGGAACAGCAAACAAAAGTGATAAGAGTGCAGACTGATCAGGACCTCAAGGCTACTGTCCTTTTTCTGCAGCTATAATTCAATTTCCAATTTTACTTTACATTGGACTCATTATTTCACAGTAATTTTCTTTTCTGCTTCATAGTGCCATCTGGAGGGGAAAGGAGTGAAGAGAAACCAAGGCGAAAAAATGGAAAGATGTTCATAAAGCTAATCACACACACACATATATATACACGTATGTATGTGTGTGTGTGAGTGTGTGTGTATACATACGTTCGTAAGGGGGGAACGGACCAAACACTCAATGCATTTTGCAAGCCATTTAAAACCATCCTGAAAGCAAATATATGAACACCTTTCAGCCAGTCATACCCTTGAAGCATTTCTTCTTTCTTTTAATTAAAAAATAACTTCTGCTTTCTCCCCACACATCTGAACCAACAGGTTAGATTGCTTTTTAATTGCATCCTTCAAGCAATCAAAATGAAAAATAAATTCTGCGCTATCCGTAAGCGTTATGCCTTCCTGTTCAAAATACTCCTTCTTCAAGGAAATAACCGTACATTTGTCACCAGATGTTACTAGTAGTATTAATTGCTGGAAAAGCAGTTGCTCTCCAGGGCTTTCACTGTCCTGGGGACTCACTGTGTGAACAGTTGTACATCTGAAAAATAGATTCGGCTCCAAGGACTTTAAAAAAAAGAATTCAAAATTACAAAACACAACCTAACAAATTAAAAAGGCAAGAGGGAAGGCGGAGTGTCATAATATTAATACTCGGATGTCTTAGCAGAGGCTGAACGCGTGCGCAGTTTGAACACAACCAGTAGCACTCCCGGTGCTTCTCAAACAGTTTTATTACAGCCAGCGTCAATGCAAAGCTGCGGTTACAGCGATGTAAATCAGCTCTCGCTGCCGTCGCGCTAATGGAAGAGTCATGGCTCACGGTGATAATTCCTATAAACTGGCCAGGCATATTTAAGAAAACAACAGACTTTCTGTGCACGCCTGGAATAAGAACGAAAGGCTAAATCCTGCAAGTCTTGATCCCATCAGTAGTCATTACTTGTCAGAGATCTCGCTCCTCTCGGCCAGATTGCTCACATGCATAATGACTACTTATGTGATTAAGGGGGCTGCAGGATAAGGCTCTACATCTGAATTAGAGATAATAAAATCATTTTTTATTCGTGGCCATGTGAATCTTTGTTTGTAAGCTTTCAGTAAATGCTCGTGATCTCTAGACCTTTAAAGAAGCAGGGCCGAAAAACGTCACTTTACAACCAAAAGAAATAATGTCATTTTTGAGGAAATGTTGGATAGTATACGAGGAGTATTTCTCCTTCCCTGTGTTATGGCAAGAACATTTACAAAAGACAAAACATGTGTTTTGTCTTATTTGGACAAGGTCCAAAATCTGGTTTTCTTCAACATGATTTTATTAGGTATATTATACACTGTTCTGCTGGAGGAGAACAACATATGGCTGAACACTACAACTTAATCCTAACTAAAGATTTCCTGTATCTACTGTAACCTAATACAATGACAGATGCACACTTGCATGTGCGTGGAAGGTTAACGCTCCGATTTTGTTTTCGACAAATTTACTCTGCCCATTTACATCATATCATGAGAGCAAGGGGAAGGGGAAAAAAAAAAAAACAAACCAACAACCCCGGAGCTGAGAGGCGGGGGATGACAGCCTGGGCTGTGGTGCCCTCTATTGAGCACCCAGCCCCTCAGCCCCGGCCCGCCGCAAACAAAGCCCCAGCTTCCTCTTAAAAAAGAGGCTGACTGTGTTTCCTCCTTCATTTTTTTCATCAGGCAGGAAATGTGACTGAGAGCGAGCAACTGTGAAGCAACTGTTGGGCATCTGATAATGCATACGTTTAAGAAAGGATTAAGCGACACGCGCCTGCTAGGCGTTACTCGCTCACCAGATAGGAAATACTAGCAAGGCTCCATTGGAAAGAGGCAGCCACCACACGCCCGAGGAGATCCCACCTGCCCCACGGCCGCCGAGGCTCCTGCCTGAGCCCCGGCGAGCTGCCATCCATCCCCTTTGGAGCCAGTCTCCCGCCTTCTGCATCCCTGAGAGAGCGCCCGGTGGAGACACCTCCAGGAGAGAGTCCTCCGACCCTGCACCAGCTCCTGCTTGTGGGACCGCGCTGGGGAAGGTAAGGAGGTGTGAGGAGGAGGGCAAAACCCTGTCCACCTCCAGAGAACGGCTCTGCCTTAGGCAGCCGAGTTTTGGGTGGCTTGTTCGGCACCAAGTGAGCCCGACGCACAGCCATCCAGAGCTGCGACACTCTGGATGCCCTTCGTCTCCTGTGGATCCGAGCATTGCATTTCTTAAAACTCTTAGTATGTTTTCTACCCCATCATAAACTGCATGTTTGAAAACTAATTGAAACTAATTGAAGACTTATCCTTTTTCCTAAACGACATGAGTTTTTGGGATCCAATGGTATTCAATAAAAAAGTGTCAGTGATTGAACCCAACTTCATTTAAAACGGTTTTGTTAATTAGCTTTCTAATAAGCAAGCATGGATGATCTTCTATGAAGGTTATCTAAATCCTGAAGTTAAACCTGTGTAGCTAAAAAGGGGTGAAAGCAAAGAGGATCTTACAGAACCTAATATTTTAAGACAGTGTTTTAATTTTGACCTCCAATTTAAGAATAAGATTTTCCTGTGAATTTACAGACATCCTCAAAGGTATGAGGATACTTACCAGGAAAAACACATAATTTTCCTTATTCTTATGATGTAATTCATAATTGAAAAGGGGCTAGCTGTCTTCCGTTCATGCAAATGGCCTCTTGAAATATTAAATTATGCCCAGACAAGAAGTGAGCTTTACAGCTCTTCATCACTCAGAGATAATAACCTGTAAGACAAGCAGGTCTTACCCTGCATTTGTGCAGTAAAGCCAAATCAAAATGGGTCACCTGTTTCCAGAATCTCACCAAACCCTAGTGCTTTGCTGTAGTTTCCAGCTGTTGCCCTAATTCTCGCGCTACCGTGCTCAGCACGGAGAGGCTTCACAAAGACTCTAAGTCAGCACCTTGCCCCGAGCTAACTCGTTCTGGAGTGACGCGTGAAGGAGGACAAGAGAATTCCATAGCTGTCAAAGTATAGGCAATATGGAGGAGCTCCCAGGGCCAGGAGCTGAATACCAGAGAGCCTACAGCCACTCGATTCTTACTCCCCGGGCACGAGGCTCCGGTCTGGGCAGAGGCGACAGCAACCTGCTCACACAGCAACAGGGCACAAAGTGAGAATGTGAAAGTTCTAAACTCCATTTTCAGAGATGACTTGGATCCTGATAACCTCACAAGGCACTGAGTGCAGAGAGGAGCTCAGGTTCCCGCATCGCATGTGGGCATTTGAAAAAAATGTTACCTGCGAACCTCTCCCTTGAGGGAGAGGTCCACATAGGCTCAAGTCCCGTTTCTTCCCACGGTCACAAAGAAACACCAGCGGGGCTGTGAGCTTGTGCATGGCGACTGCTATCATTGCCAGGGTGAACGGAGCACTCGGCTTTGCAGTTCTGGGTTACACCACCCCATGCAACTACTTTCTGACTCCCTTCCCACCCCCTTCCTAACATAGCAGGAGGTCCTGCTTCCCCTGGCATTGCCACGCTACAGAACATGCAGCATCCAGACCTAGAGCTTTACTAAAGTCAAGCGTGCGTGTATATATATACACACACACACACACGTGTCAATGAGGACCACAAATGCAATTTCAGAGAAAGACATCATAACCTTTGGTTCAGACTCATAAAAAAAAGGG